GGGGTAACACTACACCTGTACTTAGGGAGGATATTCCTGGGAATATGTCTAGGGAAGTTATTTGGGTGGAACTGAGAAAGAACAAAGGGATGATCACATTGCCAGGATTGTATAGACCCTCCAATACTCAGTGGGAAATTGAGAAACAAATTTCTGTAAGGAGATCTCAGTTATCTGTAGGAATAATAGGGTGGTAATTGTAAGAGATTTTAACTTTCCAAACATAGTAATTGTGTTACGGGCTTGGATGGAGAGGAATTTGCTAAGTGTGTACAAGAAAATTTTCTGAATCAGTATGTGGATTTACCTGCTACAGTAGGTGCAAAAACTCACCTAGCCTTGGAAAATAAGGCAGGACAGGTGACTGAGGTGTCAGTGGGGGAGCACTTTGGGGCCAGTGACCATAACAATGTTAGTTTCAAAATAGTGAGGGAAAAGGATAGACCAGACCTAAAAGTTAAAGTTCTAACTTGGAGGAAGGCCAATTTTGATGTCATTAGGCAAGAACTTTCAAAAGTTGTTTGGGGGCGGATATGTGCAGGTAAAGGGATGGCTGGGAAATGGGAAGCCTTCAAAGGCTCCAGAGACTGTCTGTTCATGTTAGGGTGAAGGGCAAGGTTGGTAGGTGTACGAAATGTTTGATGACCAGAGAAATTGAGGTTTTGGTCAAGAATAAAAAGGAAGCATATGTCAGGTAAAGACACCAGAGATCAAGTGAATCCCTACAAGAGTAAAAAGGCAGTAGGAGTATACTTAAGAGGGAAATCAGAAAGGCAAAAAGGGGACATGAGATAGCTTTGGCAAAAAGGATTCTACAAATATTAAGAACAAAAGAGTTAATAGGGAGAGAATAGGGTCGCTTAAAGATCAGCAAGGCTGCCTATGTGTGGAACTGCAGGAGATGGGGAAAATACTAAATGAGTCTTTTGTATCAGTGTTTACTCTGGAGAAGGATATGGAAGCTAGAGAACGTAGGGAAATAAATAGCGACATCTTGAAAAATCTCCATATTACAGAAGAGGTGGTGCTATATGTCTTAAAACGTATATGGGTGGATAAATCCCCAGGAACTGATCAGGTCTACCCTAGAGCTTTGTGGGAAGCTAGGGAAGTGATTGCTGGGCCCCTTGCTTAGATATTTGTATCATCAATAGCTGCAGGTGAGGTGTCAGAAGACGAGAGGTTGGTTAATGTGGTGCCACTATTTAAGATGGTAAGGAAAAGTCAGGGACCTATAGACCAGCAAGCCTGACATCAGTGGTGGATAAGTGTTGGAGGGGATCCTGAGGGTCAGGATTTACATGTATTTGGAAAGGCAAGGACTAATTAGGGATAGTCAACATGGCTTTGTGCATGGGAAATCATGTCTCACTAACTTGATTGAGTTTTTTTGAAGAAGTAACAAAGAGGATTGATGAGGAGGGAGTGGTGGGTGTGATCCAGGGCGTGGAATTCAGTAAGGCGTTCAACAGGGTTCCTCATGGTAGACTGGTTAGCAAAGTTAGATCACATGGAATACAGGGAGAACTGGCCATTTGGATACAGAACTGTATCGAGTTTAATTTAGATAAATGTGAGGTGCTGCATTTGAGAAAGGCAAATCAGGACAAAAAGCAGTGGACCCAGCACTGATCCTTTTGTAGCATACTGCTGGTCACAGGCCTTCAGTCTGAATAGCAAGCCTCCATCACCACCCCTCTGTCTTCTTGCTTTGAGCCAGTTCTGTATCCGAATGGCTAGTTCTCCCTGTATTCCATGTGATCTAACCTTGCTAACAAGTCTACAATAAAGAACCTTGCCAAATGTCTTACTGAAGTCCATATAGATCACGACCACCACTCTGTCTTCATCAATCCTCTTGCTGCTGTGCAACTTTGACGAAGATAAAACAGATCTACAGTTGTCTTCCTGCTCTAACAGTCCTTACTGAGGAGTTGCAACAGTTTTCAGGTCTCAAATTAAGGTCACAGAGACCATTCTGGATAATTTTTGACCAGTGATTGGCTTGAAGAGACACTTGTTTTAAGTAGTCAGTTGGAGAGAGAGCCTGCCACAAACAAAAACCGCCTATTTGCCCATTTCTACACCAGTTCAGGGAGAAACCTGTTCTCTTGAAAATGTGATTACATGTCTGCAAAACTTTAGAGACAAACGTGCATGATCAGTGACGACCACAGGTGGCTGAACATTAGACTTTAAACCATCTTATTCTTTCTTTTTGCTTTTGAGAATAACCCTTTGACAGCGTTTCTTTTTCCAGAGTTCAGAAATTAACAAAGTGGAGATCCGGTGCTGTCCCAAGATTACCTTTCGTACTTCCAAAACATATAATTCCATCTAGCAAAACAATAAGTTCCATTAATAGCCAAAGTTAGAGTACAGATGGCTACACATAATCCTCTTTTTTTAATAAATCATTTTCAATAAATACATTATGGCAGCAATTAGCCTTTGAGGATAGATGGAACAGACTGGAACTTTTCACTAAAAAACTGAGGGGTGACCGTATATAAAATATGCAGGACTTCATCAGACAGGTTTCCCCTGTTTGGGAATTCAAAATAAGAAGCCATGAACATAGGTTAGACATAAATAAATACAAAAGAAATTTCAGAGATCAGCTAGAAATTCTGTACCATTTAGAATAATTGAGACACATAATAGATGCACTTCAGGGGAGTGTTACAAACTGATTGTGTGCTTTTAAAAATAATTCTTTCTCCTTATTCTTATCACCTAACCATAGCAGATTATTATTTAATCTTTTCTTCCTAGTTTTAAACAATTGAAGTATATTTCTGAACTCTCGTCTCCACAATGATACCCACTTGTTTTATGAACCTATCTATTTGTAGTGTTGGTAATTTTACACAGGATTTTTTTTGTCTGGAAGCTGGATTCTTACTCCCACAATTTTTGGTCAAACTTTTCACGTTAGTGTTTAATTTTGAAAATGCAGTTGAATTCCTTATTTGAATGCTTTGTTAAATGCTCGCCAATGTGGTAGATTCTACCCAGACTATAATGACAAAGAAGGAAACTCTTTAATTATAATGCGTCCGAAATTGACCAGGACTGTTGGTATTTAAAGTTGACAAGGCGTCAAAACTGGATGAGATGTATCCAAAAATATTGAAGGAAGTGATAGTGGAAATTTCAGGGGCACCGGCCATAATCTTCCCTACATTCAGGAGGTGCCAGAGGACTGGAGAATAAGGGGAAAGTCATTCAGGACTGACACAAGGAAGAATTTCTTCACTCACATTTGTGAACCTGTGGAATTCCCTCCCACAGAAAGCTGTTGGGGCCAGTTCATTAGGTATACTCAAGGGAGAGTTGAATGTGGCCCTTGCAGCTAAAGGGATCAAGGGGTATGGAGAGAAAGTGGGAATGGGATACTGAGATTGCATGATCAGCCATGATCAAAAGGTTTGTAAGGAAAAACTAAGTAAATACAGATCAGTAGTGACAAAGCTTATTATATTTGTGATAAATTTAATAATCATATGGAAAAGGTTGTGTTACTAAGCTAGAGACTCACTGAATGTCTAAAGGGGTAATTGCGTATGACTAACTTGTCTGGGTTTTTTCTGAAGCCGTAGCAGAAAGGGTTGATGAGGCTAATGTTGTTGATGTGGTGCTCCTGGACTTTCAAAAGAAATGTAATAGAATATCAGACTACTGGCTTGGGAGAAAATTGTAGCTTATGGAGTAAAAGTTACAATGTGGATCCAAAATTGACTGAGTGATAGGAAACAGTAAGGGTTAGTGAACATTTTACGGGACAGAGGAAGGTTTGGAGTGGAGTTCCCCAGGGTTAGTATTAGTCTTGATGTGTATTAATGATCTAGATTTTGGTGTGCAGAGGGTAGTTTCAAAGTGTGTAAATGATATGAAGCTTGGAAGCACTGCAAACTGTGAGGAGCACTTCATAAAAACATAGACAGTTTGATGGAATGGACAGATATGTGGCTGATAATGTTCACTGTGGAGAAGTATGAGATGATGCATTTTGGTCAGAGAAAATTGAAAGACAACATGAAATAAGAGGTACAGTTCTTAAGGAAGTGCAGGAGCAGAGGTACCTGGGTGTATATGTGGACAAGTCATTGAAGGTAGCAGTGAAGGTAGCAGTAAAGCTAGAGAGATCATTTAAAGCCTTTTCTTCAATGATAGAGCACAGAGGACAAGAACAAGATGGTGATGCTGAACTTATATAAGACTCTTACTAGACCTCAGTTGAAACATTGTGCACAGTTCTGGGTGCCACACAATAGGACAGATGTGACTGCATTGGATGCATTGATGAGAGTTCAGGTTTGTAAGAATAGTTCCACGGATGGGAAACTTCAGTTGTGTGGAAGACTAGAGAAGTTGGGAATGTTCTCCTTGGAGAGAAGAAGGATGAGTGGGACTTGAGTGAGGTTTTCAAAATCATGAGCGGTCTGAATACAGTAGGTAGGGAGAAACTGTTTCCACTTGAAAAAAGATGGGAATGAGAGGGCACAGATTTAAAGTGATTCACAAAAGTAGAAAATGTGTTATAAGAACAAACCTTTTTATGTAATGGATAGTTTGGAGCCTGGAATGCACGGCCTTTAAGTGGTGGGGAGGCAGGTTTGATTAAGGCGTTGTTTCTATTCAAATAGTAATCTTAAAGCTCAAGGGTACAGGAAAATGTCACTAAGTCATAATGCTTATTTGGAGGTTTGGTGCAGGCATAATGGGCCGAATGGCCTCTCCCACGTCATAACACTTGTGTGATTCAGCAATGAAATGACGCAACACTAGAGATTCGACTCCTAATTGTTTTGGCTTTTTGAAAGAGCAAACCCCTTTTTGGTCTACTCTTCGTCCTCTCTGGCTCTGCAACTATTTCCTCCTTAAATATTTATCCAATTTTCTTTCAAAATTTGCACTGTATTTCCTAATATTTTGATCTTTATTCTGTATTAGTTAATCAACATGGATACTATTGACCTACTTTGTACTCTTTCTAGGATACAGCAGTGGATGTAATTTTAAAGACTAAGGAGGAGAAAGATGTGGAACTGGATAAAAAGATAGAAGCTTTACGGAAAAAGAATGAAGCACTTATGAAAAGATATCAGGTGTGTGTTATTCATCACAAGGTTTTGCATCTTGGATGTAGAAATAACTTCTTGCTTGTCTTTACTTTCTGCTGCTGTGTTGGTTCTTTGTCTTTCTTGTGTGTCTCCCTGCCTCCCTCCGACCAATCTGCATCCTTGTTTTCTTTTCTCCCTTGGTCAGGAAAAAGTATTGACTATTGCTTGTATATTGTTTTAAAATGTTAGGTTTCTCTTCAGTTTGAATTATGTTTTGAACACCTAAGTGTACAATCAAAAAGTAAAAGTTAGTTTGCCATTTTCCAACTTTTAAGTTCAAACAGTATGATAGTTTGTGCCATATCTGTTTTTGCAGCTGCCATGTTTGATATTTTAAAACACCGAAATATAGATTTTAGCTCAAGACTAGCACATTTATTTAGGATATTATGATCTCTGATTGTATTACATTAACTTGTACTTTTTTAGGAAGGTGCAAATGCAACTTTGACTTCTGGGCTATTATTTAGTTTTGAAACTAGTGCACATCTGCTTATCCCAACTTCTTCTCTTGGCAATAACATTGGCCGTAATGCAGTTGACAAGTTGTCCCTCACTATATAGGTTGATGTGATAACCTAAAGTTGGCCTGCAGAAAGTTTGTAATTATATTAAGTCTTAAAGGAATTGGGATTTGAATATTGCAGGAAATTGAAGAAGACAAAAAAAAGGCAGAACTGGAGGGAATGGCTGTTACCACTCGAAAGAACAGACCTGAAAATCTCACCATCACTATTACAAAAGCCCCGAATGTAAGTGTTTTCTAAAGATTTAGCATAATTTCTATTCTGTTATGCTTTATGCCTCCATAATGAAGCCAAGAATTTTTTTTCCAAACAGCCATCTGAATTTGTCTTGCTAATTTTGAAGACATTTCAAGTCCTTTATATTTATTCTTTGGAGAAATCTGCCAGATTTGCTGAGTTTATCCATGCTCTGTACCCAGTTTAGTTCCTCCTTTTTCCTTTTTAAGAACCTGTAAAAACTTTGCAGTTCATTTTTACATTCATACCCAGATCCCCTCATATTCTCATTTTTCCCCTTGATAATCTTTTCATCATTCTCTTCCATTTTCTAAATTCTGACCAATGATCTGACTCGTCACTCATCTTCACACTCACCTTGCTATTATTTTTTATTATGTTTTTCCTTATCTCAGTTAACCAAAGGTGGTGGAATTTTTTTTAAATCGTGGGAGTGTACTTATTCTGTGCATACTGAAATAGCCCCTTAAATGTCAGCCACCATGCCTCTATTGATTGATCTCCTAGCCCAGTATGTTTCAGCCAGCACAGCTTTCATACCCATATAGTTGCCCTTATTTAGTTTAAAAATACTAGGCTTATACCAAGATGTCTCCTTTTCAAACTTGATGTAAAATTCAATCATATGTGGACCTCTCTAACTCAGAGTGCTTTAACTCTGAGTTCATTAATAAATGCTATTAAATTACACAATACTTTGTATAATATTGTCTGTTTTCTGGTTGGTTTCAAAACATGCTGCTTTAAGAAACTATCTTGGACTCATTCTGTGAGCTTCTCATCCAGGCCACTGATGCCAATCTGATTTTTCTGGTTTATATGTAGATGAAAGTTGACCAGGATTGTTGCTGTCCCATTATTACAATAATTTATTGTGACTTATTCTTGTGGTATACTTTGTTCCACGTTGTGGTTACTGTTGGGCCATAGACCACTTTCCTTTTCCCTAGATGTCTTTCCCATACTGTTCCTCCTCTTCACCCAATTTGATTCTATGTCCTGATGCCTTAAATTAAGGTGATCTCTAAATATCACCCAAATCCCATGCTTGATTAATAATGCTATCTCGCCATCTTTACCTAGATTCCTATTTTACTTTAATGCCATATTCTCTTCAATGTTCCGGATCTAATCCTGAAGCCAAGTATCAGATAATTTTATAAGTTGGACACAAAACTGACTCTGGGGAGCAGCGCTGCAAACTGTTTTCTCTATCTCTCACTGTCTTTTTTGATCTCTTGCTCTCTCTGTTTTGCTGTTTCTCTCACTCTCCCTCTTTCTTGCTGTCTCTCTCTATTCCTCCCCCCCTCTCTATCGTCTTTTTCCCGTTCCCCTTTCACACACATGTACAACATCACCAACATCACATCTGTCCCAAGAGAACCTTCTTAAGTGATGAGATTCCAGACCAACAAGGAAGAAGGTGCTATATTTAGTGCTTGGAATGAGGAAGGGCAAGCAGGCCATGCTTCAAAGAGAGTACATTTGGCAAAATGATCATGATATGTTCAGACTTAGTTATGGAGCAGGACAGTGTTCGGTCAAGCGTAAACAGACTTAACTGGAGAAAGGCTGATTTCAGCGAGTTGAAAAGAGATCTGCTTTAACCTGTTAGGCAAAACAGAAACTGAACAATGGAAGTGCTTTAAAAGCAACTTGTTAATGATATGGAGCATTCCTTAGAGTGTGAAAAAAAGAGCATCAAAGGTTGTTTACTTGCTGCACATTTGCTGATGATTTGCTTGATAGCAATTCCTATTTTGTGTTAGATTGACAAATATTGATTCCAGGCTTCTCAAGTTAACTGCTTTACCACTGCAGCGTCCCTCTTTTTAGAGGTCAGTTTCTTGAAGCTCAGCTTGGTAGTGTTTTATCAGTCAGTATCATCGAAGGAATGGTCTTAGATTTTTGGAGGTCAGTATAAAGTGTTTTAGTGCTCGATGTCTCAGTAGATCAGATGTCAGTGGATTGGTCCCCTGGTAAGTCAGCAAGGTTACTTTGCATGTGCATCTTCTATGTGAAAATTTCAAGACTCCATCATGGATAGCCATGTGTCCAAGGAAAATCATCATTTCTTAAGCTCGCTTTGGAGCTTGAGAAACCACTAATAGACCTGCATCCAGATAGATCAGACTCTGAGTGTCACCCTACCAACATAGAAGGTTGTAATGATTATACAGTCTGTATTTAATACAGAACACCCTAAATGCAAAGACAAATCAAAAAATTAAAAAGAGAATGGAAAATCACCCTCTTGGTTTTGAATTAAACCAAGACTCAAATTGAGATTGAAAACAAAATTTCTGTTTGAAATTATAAGAAGTATACAGAACCATCAGAGCTCAATAGATATTAAAATCATTGATGTACTATAGCAGGCTGAAGAAAACAAGGACTCGATGCAGAACCCGAGAATAAGCGAAGATGTAGTTGTTGCAGTTATATCTGTCACTTGAAGATAGCAGTGGTGGGTTTCCATCATGGAGACCATGGTGAATAGAGCGGAGGCCAATGTGTTCCATTTTTGGTGAAGACAATGCTGTGGAAATTGTATTAGTTGTGCATTGGTGTCAACTGGAGATAAGGTTACACCCAAAAAGAGAAGCAGCTGGGTTTCTTTATAAGGAAGACAGATGAATTTTGTTTTGGGGCTCTTGTGGTGCATCGGTAGTGCCCCTACCCTTATGTCAGGAGGTCTGAGTTCACATCCCACCTGCTCCAGAGACCATAAGGTATAGGAGCAGAATTACACTATTCAGCTCATTGAGTCTCCTTTGTCATTCCATCATGGCTGATATGTTTCTCAACCCTATTCTCCTGCCTTCTCCCCATTACTTTTGACCCTCTTACTAATCAAGAACATATCTATCTTAAGTACACTCAATGACTTGGGCTTCATAGTCGCTGCGGCAATGGATTTGACAGATTAACCATCATCTAGCTGAAGAAATGCCTCCTCATCTTAGTTCTAAAGAGTCGTCCCTTCACTGTGAGGCTTTGCCCTCGGTTCCTAGTTTCTCATACTGGTGAAAACCTCTTGTCCATGCTATCCACGCATCGCAGTATGAGAAATGTGTAATGACGTCTCTGAACAGGTTGATTTTGGAACAAAAATGGATTTTGTTATTTTTGATGATGGATGTGCTGAGTGAACAGCCAAGCTGATTCATAAGATCTGTCTTGGAGTATTTAATACAAATGCAGAAGAAAGCAGCAGGCATAGGCCATTCAACCCTCAACCCACTCCGGTATTCATTATGATTATGGTTGATTATTGAAGTCAGTACCCTAATATCGTCCTGTCACCAGATCCTCTGACTCTTTAGCCCCAAAAGCTCTATTTATCTCCTCCTTGAATGTTTGGCCTCAAAACACTTCTTGAGGTAGTGAATTCCACAGGCTCACCTCTCTCTGGGTGAAGAAATTACCCCTCCTCTCATGCTGAAAGGTTTATCCCTTATCATTAAACTATGACTCCTGACTCTGAACTCCCTGATCATCAGGAACATCCTTCGTGTATCTAACCTGTTAGAATTTTATAGGCTTCTATAAAAGCGTCCCTTGTTTTTCTAAACTCTACTGATTACAATTCTAACCGACTTAATCTCTCCTCATTCGTCAGTCTTGCCATCCCAAAAATCAATCTGGTAAACCTTCACTGTGCTCCCTCTATTGCCAGAACATCCTTTCTCAGATAAGGAAACCAAATCTGCACACCCTATTGTAGATGAGGGCTCACGAATGCCCTGTAATTTGTAGCAAGACATCCCTACTCCTGTACTCAAACCCTCGTTATGAGGCCAGCATACAGATTTCCTTCTTTACTGTCCTCTGCAACTGTGGGCATCCTTTTAGCAACTGGTGCATGGGAATGCCGAGACCATATTGAACATTTCCCTCTCTCAATTAATAGCCATTCAAATAATAATCTCCTTTTCTATTTTTGCTACCAAAGTGAATAACCTCACATTTAACCATATTATACTTCATCTACCAAGCATTTGCCTACTCCCTCAGCCTGTCACAGTGCAACAGCTCTGCATCCTCCTCACAGCTCACCTTTCCACCCAGCTTTGTGTTATTTGCATATTTTGAGATATTTTCTTTAGTTCCCTCAACTAAATTCTTTCCATATATTGTGAACAGCTAGGGTCCGAGGGACCCATCCCTGTAGTACCCCACTAGTCACTGTCTACCATTCAGAAAAAGACCCACATTTTCCTACTCTTTGTTTCCTGTCTGCTAACCAATTTTCTAACCATGCCAGTGCAATACCCTCAATCTCATACGCTTGAAGTTTATACATTAATCGCTGTGTGGGGCATTGATGAAAGCCTTCTGAATGTCTAGTAAATCATGTCCACTAGCTCTCCCGATCAACTTTACCATTTACATTCTTGAAGAATTCCAGTAGATTTGTCAAGCATGATTTTCCTTTTGTATGTTCCGGCTAACTATGTGTGATTCTACCACTGTTTTCTAAGTGGTCTGCTGTAAATTCCTTGATAATTGACTCCAGCATCTTCCCCACTACTAATGTCAAACTCACTGGTCTTAAATCCTGTTTTCTGGCTACCTCCATTTTTAAATAGTTATATTAGCTACCCTCCCATCTGTAGGAACTGTTCCGGGTTCTAAAGAGTCGTGAAAACGACTACCAATGCATCCACTATTTCTAGAGCCACTTCCTTAATAGGCCTTGGAGATTTATCAACCTTCAATCTTATCAATTTCCACAACACCATTTCTCTACTAATACAGATTTGCTTCAGTTCCTCCCTCTCACTAAGCCCTGTATTCTCTATCATTCCTATACTGTGCATTGTAATAATCGACTGCAACAAGCCTTTTAATTCATGTTCATGTTGATTCTGGCTTTTTGGTGTCTGGGTTTTTGCTAAGATACTGTTTACCATATGTTCAATTTGACTCTTGCATAGTAAAGCTTCTTTTGCTTTAAACTGCAGAATCCTGTGGCTTAATTCTTTCAGTAAGAAACTGGGATTTTATATTCCCTTTTTTTAAAAATAAAAAATTACTGATCTTGAACGAGCTCATAGCAAGATGCAGATCAGAGGGAATAAATGTCCATTAGACAGAGCCGTTGGAAGACAGACAAAACAGAAATCACAAAGGTTGGTGACCATCCTTGAAAGAATGCAGTAAGAATCAAATCCTTCCAACATCATGGAAGATTTCACTGTACATACATAGGAATAGGAGGAGTTGGGGCCCCAAGAGACATTTATGCAACCTTGAATGTGATTTCCAGGGTTTATTTGTTCCCCTACAGCCAGTATTGGCCTTCTGTAATTGTCATTGCTGCTAACTTCAACATCATTGAGATGCCAAACTCAAATTGCAATGACCACTGGCATGCGCACTAAATGGGTGATGAAATGATAACAAATTAAATGTAGTTAGGGTTTGCAAATGGCTGCTTTATGTACTTGGTGCTGGTGCTGACCTTCAGCGAGAGTGGATCCCATGCTTTTGTCCATTGGAGTGACCATACTCACTGTGCCCACCCTGGTCATTGCCCCTGCCATTTTCTTGTAGCATTTTTCATCTAGACAATAGAAAGTGATGGCAGATGTGCAGCTCCTGATGGACCATCAGCTGACTGCTCTCGACCACCACCACCGCCCCCCTCCACCCGTATGTGCGCGCGCACACACAAAAAACGTCATTGTCCCTTATTACCTCACACTGCTTCAAAAGTCGGTTTCCACCATGTTAAACTTTCCCTATAACACTCCACCTTGCCCCCTGAGCCAACGTTTTACCATAGCCTGACTCCACCATCTCTGGGCCCTCTATTTCTAGTGCAGCCAAGAGGTCAGTCTTTGCATCCTATTTTCCCGGCACTTTATTATGTGGTACTCGGTGTAGTCCCAGTAGTGACCACCATTCCCAGTGGAGCCTCTGGAGCTAAAGAGCTACTGGCCGATATGATTGACTGACAGCTCTCCAAAGTGTGACTTGCTCTCCAGAAAGGAACAAAATCCACCCTTCATTTAGTTAACTGCAGCAAAGTTGTCGGGAGTGGGTATAATGTTACTTTTTATTGTTCCTGTGATCTGATTTATTTGTACCGCTTCACATTTTACAGGAAAAGAGAGTGGTCAGTGAGAAACGGACGTTTGGAGGAGCAAGCATTCTTAGAGGTTGTGAATCAGATGCAGGTCAAAGATTTTCTGTAGGAAGAGGACAAAGACTTCGTAAATTTGTTGTGGAGGAAAGCAAAGCAAAGGTAGGATTTATGCAATGCTATATTTTTGGACCCCTCAATTAAATGAAATTTCTCGATGCATTCCAAACTGACCAATATACCAGATATTGTTCAAGGTACCCATTGATTTAATGAAAAGCATTTTCTACGGTTATACGATAAATGGAGTTGATTTTAAACCTCCAAGTTGGGTGGGGTTATGAAGGGGTTTCAAATTAAGAAAATACAAACTGATACCATTCTGGGTTTTAATCGAGCTTTGTTGAGGAATGGTGGTATTTATTGTGCCCCCATCAGAGATGGGTCTGTGATATAAATATTTAAATACAGTTGTACATCTTTTTTAGCAGGTTTTTCGATTTAATACCTGTCAGCTGAATTTCTAATGCTTGGGAAACTTTGCAGCTGGAGAGACCTGGCATGGCCGACTTTAACAGTTAAATCCCCCATTTTACAGCATTGTTGGCGAACCAAAAGGCACAGGAGTTCTCCCCCAAGCTAATCAAGTTTTGTCCTCATGGTTGGCTGGTATCCAGTCCCTTCCCAGGTGGTCTGATCTCTCCAAGGTCTGAAATGTTTTCTTAGGCACTTTGACCGCAGCAAGACCTTCTATTTCCCATCACTGTCATTTCGTGATTATCTGCAGATCTCTCGCTAGTACCCATGACCCTCTGATTCCTCCCATCATTTGTGATGGTAATGCCGTTGAATATCAGAGGGAAGGTATTGGCCTAATGGTATTGTCGCTGGACTATTAGTCCAGAAACCTTGGTAATGTTCTGGGGACCAGTACTGCATTCAGTTCTGGGGACCAGTACTGCAT